AGCTTAATTAATGAGAGTTGAAATATGCATTAGTGTTCTCTTCATCCCTTGTTCTATGTTCTGTGAGCCTTAGGTATAGAGGTTGCATTCTCGATGTGCCCCTTAGGCTTGGACAATTCACAGACAATCTCTGTGCATGACCAGTTGTGGAACTCTGTAATTGTCTCTGTCTCTTGAAAAAGAAGCATCTTTGATGGGTGGTGACTGGGATACTTGTCTATAAATTTAAGGACCCATATTTGTCTAGGGATGTGACCTCCTCTTTTTTAAGATTTATTTTTGTTTTTACCTATATGTAAGTGTGTGTGTGTCTGTATGAGTGTATGCTGTGTGTGTGTGTGTGTGCGTGTGTGTGTGTGTGTGTGTGTGTGTGTGTGTGTGTGCCTGCAAAGGCTAAAAGAGGGTCTTGGATGTCCTGGAGCTAGAGTTATAGGCAGTTGTGAGTCACCTGATGAATTGGGTACTGGGAACAGATTTCAGTCCTCTGAAAGAGCAGAAAGACCTCTTAACCATTGAGCCATCCCTTTAGCCCCCAACATCCCTCTTTTGTTGTATTCATTGTGGGGACCCTAGGAGGGAATGGTTTGCTTTATTCTTTAGCTCAGCTCATGAGAAGTTAGTAAAGTCAAGAGAGAGCATGTTTAAATGCAGGAATAAGGCAATTTATGTAGCTTGATTTGATTTCCTTATTTTTATTTTATGTGTATGACTGTTTTGTTTGCATATATTTAAGTGTACCACATGCATGCAGTCCCTGAGGAGGCTAGATCAGATCCCCTGGAACTGGAATTTCAGATGGTTGTTAGATACCATGTGGGTGCTGGGAAATGAACCCAGGTTCTCTGAAAGAGCAGTCAGTGCTCTTAACTGGTGAGCCATCTCTCTAGCCCTTTGACTTCCCTATGAATACGTTTAGTTAAATTGTGAGACAGGTTGTCTTCTCCAGGCTCCACAGACAGAGTCATAGTCTGTTGTGAGTTCATCATGATGAATGCTGAAGAGCCATAGAATTGTTTCATCAAATAAAGCTTCATCAGAATATAATTATTTAACCAGGGAGTGAAATGAAACTAAAAGGTTTTATGAAGATCTGTGTGGGCTGGAGAGTAAAGCCCAGAGTACACCGAGCATTACCTGTGCCACCAAGAGCCTTGGAAGGAAGTATTGTTGCTATAGCTGATCCTAGTCATCACCAACATGACCTTAACTATGTGCAACAGGATTGAGACACTTAGCATAGTACCTTGGGCATAGGTGGTGAGAACAGCCCACAGAAGGAAACAAGAAGGTCACTGCAATGAAAGTTTGGGAACAAAAGCAGGGCATGGTATACATCTTATAATCCCAGTGCTCAAAGAGGTAAGAGACAGAGACAGAATCCCCAGCTCACAGGTTAGGTAATGTGGTGAACGCACCAGCGGCAAACAACAGAAAGAGACCCTGTCTCAAACAAAGTAGAAGGCAAGGACCAACACCCAAGATTGTTCTCTGAGGCCCATGCATACCCCTGCATTCACACATATAAACACACACACACACACACACACACACACACACACACACACATGATTTAATCCACAGGAGTGATGTTCAAGTAGATCTAATTTGTTCACTAGATTGCCACAGAGAAGCATAACCCCAAGGAGCACCTTCTCAGTAGAGGAGATACAGAGTCTATGGAGTTCTGTGTTGCTGAAGGAGAAAAGGGTGCACAGTCAGCAATGGTACAGGCCCTGGTGGAGTTCTAGTGCCCGGCTGTAAATACACAGTACATTGTAAACATGGGAGATGTTATCTGTGGCATGAGATCTTCCACATAACCACCAGAAAAATGAGCAGAATAATGTAAATGGGTAGAACGAGGGAGTTGTGGGACTTTCTCTGGAGATACGTGAACAAACACCTTTTCACCTTAGATAGGGCACTTATGACAGGCCAAAGAAACAGTTCTACCGAAATCTTGCTTGATGAACCAAAGAGTTGAATTGGGATTGCTTGCAGAAGCATACCTGAAGGAGATACCTATAGGAGCACAGGCACCTTAGGGGCAGCTACACCACAGAAGAATCCTCCCTCCAAGCAATTGTCAACTGGTTATATATCCTGGAGAAGTGGAGGGTCCTCATGAACTGCCTCTTGCAATCCCATCCTACTTCTACAAATGACTCTTTTAGTAATCACAGCTGCTCTGATTTCCAAGATGGCCATAGCCATGCCATGCCTGGAGAACAGAGTTCCACAACAGAGGTGCTGTAAACTGCCCCTGAACACTAGGACGGACTGCACAGGTGATGTGCTTCTTCTGCCCCATGCCGAGGGAGGACCTATGGGTGTCGATCAGCATTCTCACAGTCTCCTATGCAGGGAGAGCTGGTAGAGAACAGGCAGACCCAAGAAACTGGCAATATATTGGTCCCTAACAAGTCTGCAGGGACCTTCCTGCCTTGCTCAGTAATAGAAAAGAGCAGGAAAATAAAAGAAATGTGACACAAGGCCAGCAGCCACCTCAGTGTAGGTAGCTCACAACTTCAGTTACCAGCACAGACACCTAGAAAAGTCCTAACCAAGATAGCCAAAGCAGTGCCAGCTGACAAGCTCATTCCCAAGACTGAGTAGAGCAAGACTGAGCACATACCAGCTGGCCATCTCTGCCATCATCTAGTATGTCACCTGACAGGAAAAAGTGAATGGAAATCCAGCTATAAGATTTAGATAGAAGATTGACACTGAAGACCTTAAGTGCCTGTCTGTTACCCAGTCCCCAGATAACTTGACCCATCTGCATTACTTTTCTTTAGATATCTCTTTTTGGTAATGATAACCATTTTTTTAAATTAAATCTGACTTATATCTTCAAAGGTTTTAAGATTTTTTTTCATACCTGGTCAGGTTGAGATTATTAAGAACCTTATTTTAAATTTGTAATAAAGTATTTTAGCATGCTGAGTTTATTAGGCTTACTTACAAGGTCTTGGGTAAGAGGTTACTTATAGGAGTGTGGGTGACCCCAAACATCTACATCACTGCAGAGTCTAGCCCCATGTGTTTGATGACCTCATGGAAGCTGCACCATCAAATCCTTCTTTCCTTAATTTTCCATCTCTTATATCCTCTTCCCTGCCCCCTCATCAAGGACATATGTTAAAAACTCCTTTTCCCCATAAAAGTCAACCAGCTGCAAATATCTGTTAATATAGGTTTATAACAATAATACTGACACTAATACAAATTTTGGCTTAAAGAATTAGATTTTTCTAGATTTCATATATGATTTGTTGCTCAGTGTTTCATATGGTGATAAGAGATATAGAATATTACACATAATGTATTAATTTATTGTTACTATAAAAATCTGAGATAGTTAACTTATAAATAGGAAATGTTTATTTTGGTTCATAGTTTTAAAGATTTCAGTCCATGACTGATTGGTCACATTTCTTGGGCCTATGTATGCCAACATACCATGGTGAGAGTGTGTGGTGGAGAAACTCATTTACCTCATGGCTGGAAATACAAAACAGGAAGAAGGCAGCACTGGGATCCCACTCTCCACTTTGATGGCACACTTTCCATGGTTCTACTGGGCCCCATCTCTTAAAGGTTCTCACCACTACCCAATACTGCCAGGCTAAGAAGTATGCCTTTAACATATATACCTTTTGAGGACATTAAAAATGCAAATAATAGCACAAAAACTATAACAACAAACATTGCCCCCCTCCTTCCTGAAAGAGAATTCTAGGAAGTGTCTGGTAGTCACTGGTGGTTTCTTGAGTTTTCTGTTTTCATTTTTTAATCACTTTTGCTTGGGTACATCTGACTCGTGTCCAGGATCCCCAAGAAGCGACACTCCTTTCTCATTCATGGAATTGGATGCTTATGCATGATTTTGCTGTTTTCATATTTCCCTAATAGAAAAGCCCTACTAAGAAGGGAATGAGACTTGGAGGCTTGTAACTGATTATCTTAGCTGTATTGTAGCCACAGCCTCAAGAAGGCAGCTCTTCAGCTGATGAATCATGACTACTTAAATTTATACTGTGACAGTTAGCCTCCTAGGCCATATAATTACTTTCGCCATGATCCCTAGTACTTGGAATGACCTAAGCAAAAGCATTTATTTTTCCCTTCCTTCTTCTGGTGTATGGCAAAGCACATTACAATTATATCAACTAGAAATTTCAGTGGCCTGGTCCTTGTTGGGAGATGGCAGCAGAACTGGTTTGAGGGATGCTTTGGGGGGAAAAAATCAAGAACTCAAGAGTTCTTCCTTACTCCGTCCTGGACAGAAAACATTCCACCGTTTTTTTTTTTACCCCATCCTTTTCCACCAAGAGCCTCAGAAATGGGACATGACACATGAGTGGGTATTCAGTTTGTTCAGAGGGACATATTAACTACTAGAGGCACTATTCTGCCTTATCCTTCTGGTGGCTGAGGGACTTAAATCAGGCCAGCATAGATGATGCTTAGCCCTTTCTGATGGACTGTGCAGTTGAGCCTAAATAGACACCGTAGACCCAGATTGTGAGAATTAATCTGTTTCTTAGTGAAAATTAGCAGTGTTATCATTTCCATACTTTTTATTCTTCCACAAGGACTGATTGCTTTAAAATCTGAGAACAGGCAAGCTGTAACTCTCAGTTGGCTGCCCAAAGGAGGGAGAAGGAAAAGAGGAGAGAAAGCCAGACTTTTCTGAGTTAGGCATGGAGGCTGAGCAAGCAGCCACATGAGTAAAAGTCAAAAGGGAGGTAGATTCAGAGAAAGAGTGAAAAAGCCCAAAGTCCCAGAGAAAGGGTCCTTAGACTCTGGCCAGCATCCAGAAGACAGACAGAAAAGAAGAAAAAGAAAAATTACGTTTTTCTGAGTAATTTTTCTGAGCTTAACCCAGCTGCGTAGTTGCAGCTCCGTAAGTGACTTCATGGGGACAACGGACTGAGGGTTTTGTTTTTTGTTTTTTTTTTGTTGTTGTTTTGTTTTGTTTTGTCACTCTATTTCAGGGCTCATTGTTGGAGTGATCCTGAGGTATGGCACCCCTGCCACCAGTGGTCATGACAAGTCACTCAGCTGTACTCAGGAAGACAGGGCCTTTAGCACCTTATTAGTGAATGTCAGTGGGAAGTTCTTCGAATACACTCTGAAGGGGGAAATCAGCCCTGGCAAAATCAACAATGTGGAGCAGAATGACATGCTTCGGAAGGTGAGTTGGCCCCCATGGCTGCCCCAGACATGACAGTTGATGATGAGCTGTTTCATCTTGACCTTGAGGAGAGAAATTCTTCCAAACTTCTGGAATATCAGTCACATTCCTGGTTCACAGCTTTCTAGTATGGGTCTGGGTCCTGAAGAGGGGGAGGAAGAACCAGATTTTAACTCTGTCCCCTTAGCTTCCTGGTCTTCTTGGGCTTGCTGGGCTCTTTGGCAGACATGGGCTGTTGACTGTGTAGTCGTTCATATATCCCTACTCACCTCTTTTCTCCAACTACCATTTCATTTCTTTACTTGTTTTCTCTTAACCTTGCTGTAGTTTAGAAATGAGATTATTTCTTTCTTAAAATACATTGATTTCACTTTTAGCTTATTCAGTATTTATGGCTCCCTTGACACATCCTACAAATATTTGAGTACTTACCTCATTAGTGATTAATGCCAGAGACTAATCTTCAGAGTGGAAAAGGCTTGCTTTAGAATTTAGGTCAAAAGCATTGTTTTTCTATTTTTTTTACATTTATTTTCATTTTCTTTTGAGATAAGATCTCACAGTGTAGCTCAGGCTAGCCTCCAACTGTCGATCCTCATGCCTCAGCTTCCTGAGTGCTAAAATTATAGGCGTGTGCCAGCATGCATGACTCAAACATTGTTTTTCATTTGATATTGGGTTAACAAAAATGCTCTAGGGGAAAAATATGTATCTCTCATGTGATTTCCAGGATAAGCAAAAAAAATCCATATTAAAGGATTTGTTCATGTGGGTATATTAATTGATTTGTATTTCAATTAATCATTTTAAATATTTTAATATCCCCCCCAAAAGGTTAGCATGTTTATGGAATACTTAGATCCTTTGGATGTGCTATGACTTTGCTGTGTAGAAGTTTCAGAGTAAATTCTTTATATCAACCCAACAGGTGACTTCCGTCTCTTTAGAGTTACTGAACATCTGTTGATCAGGAAGCTGCTAGACTCACTGATAATGTTGTCTAGAGTACATGAAGAAGTATAGAAGGCTGTTAGAGACCTAACTGTAGAATTATGCCTATAGATGATCACATGAATGGCTGGGGAGTTGATAAAGAATCATGACAACATTTTTATTGCAATTAAGCCTTCTTAAAGGTATGCTAAACATGTTATTTCTGCTTGAAAACCATTGGCAGCAGCTTCCCAAAATTGTGAGTTTGCAAAATTTTTTCAATCTGTTGTGACTTAATATGTGTTAAAAGAGAAGAAAATCTTAAGTCAGAAGTGCTGGGGGAGAAGAACATACTAGTCAACAGGAAATTTGTGGCTTTTCCTGGAACAAGTCCACGATTGTCACATTGATGTTTTTTGCTCCAAATAGTCACTTTGGTTGATGACTTCCAATTATAAACAAATAGCATTAGTTGGGCTTAATCTAAAGTTTGGCCTTTTCTTTTTAAACTTGCAGGTAACATTTGATCCAGAAGTATTTTTCAACATTCTGCTGCCTCCAATTATTTTCCATGCTGGCTACAGTTTAAAGAAGGTATGAACATTTTGCCAGTGATTTCTTAAGAAATTTCTTAAGAATCTCAGTGTTAATTGATCTGTATAATTTTCTAGTTTTTTTTCTATAAACTCTCAGATTTCTGCTTTTTATAAACCACCGAAAAACCATAAGTGACTCATCATCAGTGATTCATTTCTGTTTTGAAATCTAGACCTCTTCTATACCGCCAGTGGAAATGTGACATGGTACAGCCACTTTGGAAAACAAAGTACAATTTTTGTAAAACTGTAGCCAAAGTTGCCACAAGATGTAATAATTTTACTGCTAAGGTTTTCTTGCAGAGAAAGCAAATTTTATGTTCATATAAAAACCCATGCCTCATTATTCATACTATCTTATTTGTGTAAGACAAAAACTGGAAACAATCAAAATGTCTTAGAACAGATGAATCATTAAAGAAACTGTAGTGTATCTACACTTTAGAATAATATTCAGCAATAAGATGAAAAAAATTATTGGTGTATAGTCTGGATAGACCTATAAGGCATTATGCTGAGTTTAAAAAATCTAGCCTCAAGGTTATATAATGTATAATTTCATTTATGTAGCATTATATAAATGACAGAATTATAGGGATAGAGAACAAATTTGTGGTTGCCTGGAATTAGGGATGATGGTAGGGTAGAGTTTTGAAGGAACCACAAGGGACATCTTCCTAGGCATGGAATATTTCTGTAAGTTAATCAGTATTTTGGTGGTGCCAAGGATGGAACCCAGGGCCTTGGATACAAGCTAAGCATGTGCTGTACCCCAGGCCAGTTCTGTGTCTTGAGTGTGGCAGTAGTTATACAAATCTGCACATGCAAAATGACACTTAATTGTACCAATGTCAGTTTCCTAGTTTTGATATTTTCCTGTCGTTACATAGAATGGAATCAGTGGGGAAAACTAGACAAAGGGTACACAAAATTTTTCTTTTACAAAATTTTTTATTGAATTTTTGCAATTTTCATACAATATTATTTGATGGTGTTTAGATCCCCTCCCCTATCCATACCTCCTCTTACTGACCCCTACCTAATTTAATGTTCTAAATGTCAGTTTTTGATATTTTCCTGTCGTTACATAGAATGGAATCAGTGGGGAAAACTAGACAAAGGGTACACAAAATTTTTCTTTTACAAAATTTTTTATTGAATTTTTGCAATTTTCATACAATATTAAATATTATTATTTAGATACCCTCCCCTATCCGCACCTCCCCCCATTTCCCCCTGCATTCTGTTCATAAGTTAGCTGTGGGAGTCACTTCTTAAAATTCAGACTGAGAGCGCTCAGAACAACTTTGGCATCATTGTTTTGGTACACAAATTATTCTTAAGACTCTTTTTCTGTTTTTTGGTAGTTTATAAGTTTTTACTTTTCTGTTGTGAGCCAAATTAATAGAAGTCCTTAATCGTATCTAATACACAATCCATATTCACTTTGCCTAAATTGTCTCAAACTTTTCTTATGGTTGGTTGGTTTGAATCAGTACTCAAGAAAGGGCCACAGATTGCATTTGGTTGGCATACCCTTCATATTTTATTTTTATGTCATGGATTTGTTAATGACAGTGTGTCATTTACACTGTAGAATGTTCCACATGTTGGATTCGATTTTCCTCCCTTGGCATCATTTCACACTGCTTTATTTTTATGTTAATGTAAAACAGGTAATTCAATGTAGAGGATTGATAGTATTTAGGTTCAAGAGACTGGAGATGGCTCAGCAGTTAAGAGCACTGGCTGCTCTTGCAGAAGACCCAGGTTTGATTT